CGGCACCAGCACTCAGGCTCCAAAGCACACACAAGCACGTCTAAGACTTCTGTTTCAGCCTCACAGGTCCTTCATGGCCCTGATGGACATGGTCGTGAAACGCCCGCAATTCAGGAACTCAAGACCATTCAAAACTGGTCGACTGGACTCCCAGCCCAATAGTACGGAAAAGAAAAATATGGGGTTTGGGTCCTTCAATCCCTCACGAAGTTCCTTACCCAGACACTCTCATGTGTGGCATATTTACCTATATTGGCATGGTTTCAGGGGTCAACTGATTTGCATATATTATATTATACATACATACATGCCAGTCCCATGGATTGTCTAGGTTAGATCTCTCCAGTCCCAGCGCCGACCAATATTCTCACTTTCTGCTCACCGTCAACTCTGAGGTCCTAGCGGGCTTGCGTCTGCGTGACTGGAATATGCACAATCTCTTCCACCATCTGCGGAACGGGAACATCGACCTGGGACATAAACAGTTAACTAAGACTGCTACAAGAGACTCATCTAGAAGCCGTAGGAAATGCAGCACCCACTGTAGCAAGAGCACCAAAAAAACCTTGAAATATATTTTTGGAGAAAAGCGTTGCTGTCTAGGAGTCTATATACCTCTGCAAATGCCCTGACAAGCCTACCCACAATAGATATATATATATATTGCAACATGGATCTCAAAGGAGCTGGTTGTAGTGTAGAACGGTGCTCTGCAGTAGCAATAATTTTGACGGAAACCTGGCTCTTTGGCACAACCCTCATGAGATTGCAAACTGATCAAATGTGGCATAGTGCTCAAGCACCAAGGAAATTCGTGTCTTCCAAAGATCCTGCTGAGCAAGGAGTTTCTCTCCTGAAGAGCTGCGCAGGAAAGTACTAAATCCTAGGTGTTGAAGCTGGATTGTCACAAACAGAGGTGCGCCATTCGTGATGCTATCTGACAGAGCTCAGCACTGGATGTGTCCAGGCCCAGCGCCACCAGGATTCTTTGGGGACTTCTTGGCGCGTTTGCCGTCTGCTCATGATCTGTTGATGAATTATAGTAAAATGATGTAAAACAGTTTTTTCCTTTTTTTTATGACTGATGTGCAGTCCTTGCTGCAATCATTACATCACAATGGAAAATGCATCTGCGCAAAATCATTCTTTCTTTCTGTAACTGGACACAATTATAATAGAAAATGGACACATCCTTGTCTGTTTCGTCCAAATCATTCACCGTGAAGGCAATATCAGCAGAATTGATCTACATTGGTCCTCACACCTGAAAGGAAGAGCAGAAAAGGTTTCTCAGCTATTCGAGCAGCAAACTAGTCTGGAAACCCTACTACTCAAGTCCGTCGTACAAAGTGGGTTCCTTTCTTTGGTTTTCTTAGTTTTGCGCTGGAGAGGCAAAGGCTCAAAATGCACAGAAAAGTGCCACGGTGCAAAACAAGAGTACACTTGTACACACGAAGATGCAAGTGGAGTCAAACATGAACACAACGTATAGGGTCATGAGGAAGTTATATACCACATTCTTGCGATCAAAAACTTATGAGTTTGCTCCACTCACCCCTCGGAGCCCTCGCAAGTTTGTATTGCTTCACTCACTTCCGCCTTCCGCCTTCCGCCTCCCGCCTTTGTATTGTTTCCACATCAATCAAGATATCTTGCTGAGAGGCAATTTGCTCGACGGAGCGCTGCTGCACGCGCTTCTGTGGGATGATCTGTGGCACCTCTCCCAGGCTTGCAATCTTTCAACAGAAGTGTCGGGTCATCAAGGATTCTACAACTAGACGACGAGTGGCCCGAAAGCATTTTTCATCACGTAGGAAGTCAGAGTGCGAGTTATCTGTTAAGTGTGCAGTGTGAAGTGTTAAGTCGAGTGAGTTGAGGTAGTGTGTGGGTTTCTGTGTGTGTATCTATGTCCGTGTGTATATGAGTCTGCGTATGTGTGTGTGTGTGTTCGTGTAAGTTGAGGCAGTGCGTGGGCGTCTGTGTGTGATGCGGCCTCCCAAACCCCCCACCGGCGGCCAAGCGGTGACAGCCCAGCTGCTGGTAACGCGAGAAGCAGCATGCACGCCTCCAGGAAATCTCACAAGTTCTTGACCTCTCGCAAGTCACCTCCGCGTACTGGAGTTCTACTACCAAGTCGCCAGTTCTCATCTTCCAGCTCTCCAGATACTCCGCGTACTCAAGTTGTACTACCAAGCCAGCTCTCATCTTCTAGCTCCCCAGATACTCCGCCTACTACAGTTGTACTACAAAGTCGCCAGTTCTCATCTTCCAGCTCCCCAGATACTCCGCCTACTACAGTTGCACTACCAAGTCACCAGTTCTCATCTTCCCACTCGCCAGCTACTCCGCGCACTAAAGTTGTACTACCAAGTCGCCAGTTCTCAGTACTACAAAGTCACCAGTTCTCATCTTCCAGCTCGCCAGATACTCCGCGTACTAAAGTTGCACTACAAAGCAGAGGGTTGCGTGAAGCAGAGGGGCGCGCGCGCACAGACCCAGTCGCACTCTCGCCTGCATTTCGCGCACTCGGCACGCACGATCCGCAGAGGGTTGCGCGCGCTCAGACCCAATCGCACTCTCGCCTGCGTTTCGCGCACTCGACACGCACGATCTCCGCAGAGGGTTGCGCGCGCAGCCGGCAAATCGCACTGTCGCCTGCATTTCGCGCACTCAACACGCACGATCTCCGCAGAGGGTTGCATTTTCGGTTGACGCTGTTCGTCCCACCCTCCGCCTTTAAGAGAGAATTTATAAAGTGGGGAAATGTTTTTCATTAGGACATCTCCCGTGCTAGTTTTCCGTACTCACACTTGCCTACTCATTGCATGCTTGCATACTCATTGCATGCTTGCATACTCATCACTTGCATACTTGCACTTGCATACTTCCACTTGCATACTTTGACACTTGCATACTTTGCACTTGGCTGCTTTCGCTCTTCCACTTACACTGGGGTACGTATAGCGTTCATGTTGTAGTGCAAGTGTGGTGGAAGTGTCAGAGTGTAAGTGTAAGTGTCGAAGTGTCAGTGTTCAAGGGATTTTCCGGAAGAACCCTTCGCAATGCTTTCGGGAAAAAATGAAACTGATCATTTCATCAAGGATGGCGCAGTACTCGCAGCTCCAAACTTCACAAACATAACTTGAGGAGGGGTGAAAGAAAGGTAGCCAATCATGGGAGATGCAACCAATCATCTGGCAAAGGGAAAAATGTCAGGATGGTGATGATGATGATGATGATGATGGTGAATAGAACCAAATCTACAGCACAAAAATTAAGCATGTTCAACAATGCAGCCCCCTTGCTTACGCAAAAGAGAACTCAAGTAGCTGAAGCTACTTTTCGTGATCATGTCTGGAAAGGATCAGCATGAATCACCTCAACAATCTGCTCCACAATTTGCTCCACTTGTTGCTGTACCACTTGTGGCACCTGGCGAGGATGCCAAGCAAGTGCACACACTGAACTGACATTCTATGAGCGAGTACACTGAGTACACTTCCCAAACCCCAAACTGTGGATAAGTTGAAAGGTTTGCTAACTGAGGAAGCGTTGGTGGTTGAGAGTCGATGCAAAGGCTCTTGCCTCAACCACTTTTTGCACCATCTGCACCTGACAAGTGACACGTGCTAGTTGCGAGGAATCCACGGACTGTGTTACTTGCATACCTGTTTTGTTTACATAACATATAGATATGTGTTCACATAGCTTTGGTACAAGCACACACGCACAAACTGCACACGCACACATGATCTTCGTAAGGCTGGCCCTGCGGCCCTGCTAATACAAAACACACTTCTTCCCAAAACAACACTCAGTTGCAAGACAGTGCCGCGCATAGAACCGTTACATACTTAAGAGTTGGTGAAAAACTCAGAGTGTTAATGCGTTCGCAAGGCGTTTCTTCTTCTTCACAACAAGCAACAACCTCTTTTGAGGCTTGAGAAACAACAACTGCTCTGGGAGGAATCTGTTTCAGTCGACGTCTTTTCTAGTTGTTTTGATTGGGAGACTCCCAGGGCCCCGAGAGCACAAAACAAGCAACAACGTTTCTCAGTCTTTCCAGAGATTTCTCTCAGCAAATGGTAAATGAGAAAGAACAAAGCAAATGGATGGAAAAGAGCTGATAGGAGGGGCGAGTATACTATACCTATAGAGAGAGAGAGAGAGCTGCACAGCTTTTACAAGCTGAAACATTACAAATACTAGTCACACTAAAATGCTATATATGTTCATCCTCACAGATTGACCTGTTCTGCTAAGCCGACCTCAGGAATCTCCTGCTCCACAATCTCTTCTTGAACGGTCGGGATTTCCACGATCTGACACAGATACACACACACATTCAATCGTGCGTGAGAAGTGAGGTTCAATTGATCGTGCCATTAAAGTCCTTGCTGCTGTCCACTGCATTTCACTTCAGTGTAGTCATGGTGCCTGTTGCTTGACCTGCCCCGGAACAACCTGCTCTTGGCGTTGCACTGTGACCTGCAATCGTCAGATCTACAAATAGGAAAGCCTCGATTGACTAGAAAGTACCTACAAATGGTAAAGCTATTGCCTTTGCACTCTCTCACTGAAGGCATGAAGCACCTGGGGCTGAGCATCAACCTCTGATCCGACACCGGTGATGTACTGGGGCTGGCCCTGCTCACGAGTAGCATGCATCATGGCATTGTGCATCCTTAGTGATTCGGCGCTTCAAAATGGACGTCAATTCCTCTTCCTTCTGGAAACAAGAATGTGTTTGTCTTCCTGTGCCTCTTTGTCGTTCCTGTTCATTGCTTCCTTTACACTCTTACTGCATACTACTACAAGGTTCTGGAGGGCTCTGATATTGTGTTATAGCACACCCGATTGTGCTAAGACACGTCATCGTTGCTCTGGCCTGGTCCTTGAAAGTGTCCACTGGAACCTTGACCTGCAAGACAATGCAACAAAGTCTTCATGTTTTGTGGAACCTCACAAGAGCAAAACAAGCATCTGCCTGTGTGACGGGCCCCATGACCGTTTCAGTTGGCAGCTGCTTGGGCTGGGGAGGCAGCATGGAACCCATCCCCTGCTGTGGCTCAGTCGTGTAGGTAGCTGCTGGACCTTGCGCGAAGACCGGCTCCGCAGGAGCAGCATAGGTTGGAGCATCCATGGCTGGAACCTCTGCTCCCATCGGAGCAGCATAAGTGGCGCCAGCTGCAGGAGCAGCATAGGTTGGAGCCGCATACATAGTCTCTGGCGCTGCAAAGGTTGTTGCAGGTGCAGCATAGGTCGGGGCAGCACCATAGGTGGTTGCCGGTGCAGCGTAGGTGGCTCCAGGTGCAGCATATGCAGTTGGGGGTGCTCCGTACACAGTGGTAGGCGCTGCATACCCACCTGGTGGCACTGCCACTGGCTCCATGATGGTGCCAGTACCATACGCAGTTCCAGGAGCAGCACCATAAGCAGTCACCTGAGCTGAAGAAAGTAGGTTGACGTTTGTGTAGGCAATCAACTGCTTGTATATATAGAGGACTGCATTCTAAAGTTTTGCCAAGAGTCCATGGGCGTGTAAGCAGGGGCAGTGGCTTCAGTGCCTGGCTCTGGAATGGATAGCAAATAGACTCAAAATCGTGAGTACATTTGCAATACATTAATTGTGTCATATTTTGTCTGTACGCAGGTACACGTCCATGGATATGTACGCCGCAAACTACGCACACTGCAAACATCTGCGTACTGGCTTTGAACCACTGAATGCCTGGAAGGGTTGTTGTTCCCGCTGTCGCCGCTGCTAGCCTCGAGGCCGAAAGTTCACTCTCCAATACGGCTCTACAAGTGCTCATGTCTAAAAGTGCGTCCTTTGCAAAATCCTGCAAACAAGTCATTCTCAAAGAGTATTGTATTGGATACAGGAGACAAAAGAGTATGCAAGCAGCTCAACAAAAGGCCTATGTATATAGATGTTCAAACACGATGGGAAAGGAACATTCACAACACCTTGAGTTGGTTGAGCTCAAGACTCTTCACGCGAGATCACTCCATCCTGGGTGGGTGAAGAGATTTACAAAGGCAAATACAGTACATTTAAAAAAGAAACAAGTATTATCAACAGGCCAAAGAAAGGCAGGCCACTCCCTACCCTGACCCAGCCTGGTTCGTGTCAACCTGTTCAAAAGTTGCCATGGCTGGAAGGATGTTTTGCGTCGGTCGGTTCTTAAAAATGAAGCAAGTAAGGCCCGCATGATTGATGTCTCACACTTTGATCCTCCATGTCTGATTGATCTTGTGCCACAATGGCTGCAGTTTTCAGCACTCTTTGCCAATGGCTAAAGACGCCTACAGGTCTCGCGGTGATTAGGCTCTGAACTTCTGCAGCTTTCATATACTTTCACCGAACTGCAACAAGGGCATTACTGCTAGTAACTTAGTAACAAAAAAGCCTCTTTTTAGTATATGGTTTGAAGCAGTCAATGCTCATCCAGCACATGACAGTTTTGGCGCAATGCATCCTGATCTTCAACCCAATGGTGGCAACCCCGTCGCCCGCGTAATGGTACCAAGAGACAGGAAGACCTGTTCTACGATTGACAGAGCGTGGAGAGCTGGAATTCTCGAGTCTTGAAGACCGGTCTTTCAATTGTCACCCTGCCCTCCGGGCTAGGTCTTAGGTCTTCCAAGTTTGCCGCTGACGTCAACCACACCAACAGCTTGGATTCCCCAAAATCAACAAACAAAGGATCCTCTCCTGCCAAGCAAACCTTGGTCTGCGGTCAGTTGATATGCCTCTGTTGTTTGGGGAGTCCTTGTGATTTCAGTGCTATTTGGAAAAGAGCAAGATCAACACGATCTAGCCTGGGCAAAAGCTGAGGCTTTGCAAAAAGGCACAAGTGAAGGTGCTTGTTTGCACCAATGGAAACTGCATGAAATGATGCGGAAGTGTACTTCTCAAAGCGGATCGCGCCATGATTGAGGCAACGCGCAAGATGTAAGCAACTTCCGCTCAACAAAGCCTCCATTGAATGAAACTTCATGAAATTTGCGTAGAATCAAAACAATTGCTTGGCAGGCTTGATTGCCTGATTGCCATTTGGGAGCTGCGATTCAGCATAAACTCCCGCCCGCGCTCAGAACAAGAACCTCTCTTCCAAAATGAGGAGCGGTGATAGAACCCATTGGTCAAAGGCACATTTTGTTGATTCGCTTGGTGCATTTCCCAATCACCATCGCAAATAACCACAATTGACACAAAAACTCCGACCTTCATGCGCTCGTTTGCACAGGCTCCTTCCGAACTCACGGTATGCTCATCCGCTTTGCAAAAAAATGTTACTTGAACGTAGAAACAGAACGACCAAGGAATCGCTAGTCATGGAGGCCATCGCTCTTAGGTTGGAGGCCATGTTGGACCTTCTAGACTCGCAAGCAATTGTTTCTACGGAGAAACAGCCTAGGCCCTGGGCCTAGCCTGAACGGCAGCGGGCATTACAGACGTTGATGCGACCTGACCAGTACTAGCTTCTTGTTACTACTAGTAAGGCACCTGTTACTACTAGCGTGGCACTTGTTACTAATAGCGAACCTTGTTACTAGTGCCCGAACCATCTGTGTGATTTTTTTCTGTTCTTCCAAGGCCATACCGACAGAGTGCCGCACTGCTGGCTGCGCAACAGAAGCTACCTGTCACGACAGGGATTTCTTGGGCATAGCATTCAATCCTTGTTATGCGTACTGTACCAAATTATGCCAACATAGACCCCAAACAGTTTTATCATTTGTTGGCGTCAACTCCTTCAATTCCAATGTTGGTGGCAATGTCTGCATTGGGAATGACATGTATATAAACAAAAAATGTTGGAAAACAAAAGTTCCTTATTACTTATTCCCTCACATGTGCAAACACCGAGGGATATATGTTATGAGAAAATCCAAAGATTAAATGCTGCACAGTTGCTGCATTCGCCACACGAAAGCATATCCCGGACAAAGCGGTCGAGAAAGGGAGAGCGGCATGGCCAAGCAGGGGACAACGGGACAAGGCGGTGATAAAAGGGCCGACAACTATGACAAGCAGGACAGACCCGGACAAGGCCTGGACAAAGCCCTCGCAAGGCGCCCTCACAAGGCGGAGAAGAAAGGCCCATGGCGCGGCTAAGCAGGACACGCAGACCCGGACAAGCATTGGACAAGGCCAGGCCTGGACAAGGCAGCACGGCCAACAGACCTGGAGAAGGACAACGCAGGGCCTACGGCGCGGCCAAGCCGGACACACAGACCAAAAGAAGAGGACAACAGGAGGACAACACCCAGCCACGGGATTAAGAGTTTCTTTTCAGAAACACTGGGTTCGCCTGTGCAGCGAGAGGACAGTAGGAGACAAGAGAAGGACGCACGACAGCAGGAGGACACCAAGAGGACAAGAGGAGGACACAGGGCTTGTGAGTGAAGAGGAAAACAGGAGGACAACACCTGAACGCAGGGTCAGGAGCGGCCATAGACTGTGGCCAGCGTCTATTTCCTAAGAGAGAGAACCCCAACAGTAAACTGTTTGGGCAAAAAATGCAACCCTACTGTCTGTAAATGAGAAAATGCCACTGCATATTCTACAAAAGCAAACCAACAAATTGCCAGTGGACTGCACGAAACATTCTCAGGGTAAACTTTTGCATTCCTGACAATCCCTGTCCGCCTGTGGCGCTGCCGCTGCCATCACCTCACAATGAAGTGTGTTTTGCAAAAGTGACTAGGGTCCAACGGCCGCTGCGAGGTTACCAACCGAAGCTTGTTTGCGAAATTGAGGACAAAGCATTTGTCGGGACGGGACATACATACATTCATTTTGTACACTGCAATTCGTTCTTGTTTGAAACGGCGCAACTCAGCGCCCGGACTCGCACCCTTTTACTTGGTCAGAAGGGGCTGCAAGATACAGCCCTGTTCAAGGTTACTTAGATCGTGTGATCTACTGTACATACTTATGTTGCATAGGCTCATGGCCTTTCAGCTGAGCACTACCATTTCGGAGAGTATGCCCTACCAGGTCAAGGATTACCCTTCTTGCAATGAGAGTAATCCATAGCAACTGCTTTAAACCTGGGGCGTTATTGGGCAAGAGAAAGGTTGACAAGTACTATTGCACAGTCTTCCCTGCGATACCTTTCCCCTTCACCTATGATGTACATCGGCCCGTTCTCAGCCCAAACTCAACACGCGCAAATCTCCTCTGGATGTTAGAACCAGTGGACCGCTGATCATTCGAATTCAAACTCCTTAGCACTCAGAACAAGACATGACCCCACTAAGCCCCTTCTGAACAGGGGAATCTTGCTCATTAGCTCTGCCACTCGGGGTGCATCCAAGATCTTTGTGCCTAAGTCAGCCCAGTTCTCGGAAGTCTTTTCCTTCTTCACTGTCAGTTCACCTTTCTCCACAGCATCTTGGAGCCAAAGCTCTTTCAACGAAAGGTGTTTCACCTTTCCAACACCACGCCTGCGCGCGATTCCTTTGCACGCTGTAGAGTCAGTGAGACATGTCTGCGCAGTGCCTCGCTGCACTTCTTGCAGCACTCTCTTCACCAAGAGTCCAGCTGAGCTTCCACGAGTCAACGCGTAATACTCCGCCTCTCCTGAGCTCAAAGCCACTACGGATTGTCTAGCGCAGCTCGTATCCAGCAAGTGATCTCCATACCTGATGGAATAACTGCTCACGCTCTTCCTGCTTTTCTTGTCAGCAGCCCAGTCACTGTCACAATAGACACAGAACTCATCTGGTTCTTCTTGGTACACAAACAACCACTCTTCGACTGGAAAGCTGATCAAGTACCGCCCCAGCACTCCTTGTGGGTCTTCAGGCAGTGCCTTTTTCACATCAACCCATCTTGAACGGATGATCTTCAAGCCGCGTGACTTGGCTTCACTCAATCGGATCTCTTTCTTGACACCATGGGCTTCCATCTTTCCCAATTATTCTCTTCCCCGAGCCTTCTTGACCTTGTCCGGTTCAAGAACTTCACCGCTCCTTTCGTCAAGTACCTGTCCCACTTCTGCCCATTCAGGATAAGCAGCCAAGGGAACCTCATGAAGTGTTGGACGATCGTTGTAATCCACTTCTTCTTGCGGAGCTTCAAGTAGCACTGCCACTGAGCGCCTTTCGATCTCTGCAGAGAGATCCAGCGATGTTTCAGCTGGTCGCTTGCTTCCAGACGACTGATCTTTCTTCAGTCTCTTTGCTTCACTGCCCATGGATGTACCTTCTAGTGGGCCTTCAACCGGTGCGGGGCGGCCCGCGACCGATCCATCAGCCGTCGCGGTGTTCCCCGCTGACGGACTTGTCATCGCGGTGTGCCCCGCGGATGACTTTCCCGTTGCCGCGGTGGTTCCCGCTGGCAACTCTCCAACTGCCGCGGTGTTTCCCGCTGGCAGCTCTGCCACCATCTCTACGTCCAAGACTTCCTTGGGCTCGAGCTTCAAGCGCTCCTCACTGATCAACTTCTCAAATCGCGCACGGCGCTCAGCATGGTGCCTCTTGGGATGTTCATCTGAACTGTGGCATCCGGGGCATCCTGGCGTCATGCCATGCTTCAGCTGTTGCCCTACCGTGTACACGCCTTTCTTTACACCTGGTGTTCCTGGCACTGGAGTGCCAGGGCTAGTGACTCCTGAGCGGATTGCGTCTGGAGTTGGTGTGGGTGGACCACGAGGTTGCCAAGGAAGGCCAACCCAACTCTGGAAACCTTTGAGGTTCCATCTCAATCTCTCTGGCTTCCTCCAGTCCGGCATCGCCTGATGCCGTGCTCAGTTGCAACCAAATGTTCGTCTGATTGCAAACTCTTACCCAACCAGACGCCCGTGTTTGTCTGTGCATCAAGTTTCCCCTTTTCCGCATCTGCCACTTTGTAGTGACAACTCTCAAAGGGCTCAATGATTGAACCTTTGTAAGTCCGCCCTCTCAATCGCTCATACGGCGTTTCGCCGTCGGCCTTTACCAGGTATCTGATCAGAAGCCACGAAGCTTGGCGTATCAGCCACGGGTAGTGTTTGTCTTTGGGGCTCCACTTAAAACCAGAAATCGCTCTTCCAAACTGCTCACCAAGGTCCGAGCTTGACGAGCCAGCTCAAGGATGGCTCGCTCACACGCACCGTTGGAAGCGGGTGAGCCTCTAGGCGCTGTCATCAACTGGCACTCTCCACCCCATTCCTTGCTGGCAGCTTCTGCCAACGCCTTGATGCTGGGCTCAGCATCTGTCATGAGCACAGCTCTTTGCCTACCACAAAACTTTAAGGCTTCAACCACCAAATGGTTTGCGTAAGCATTCACACCTTCAGCAACCGCAACAGAAAAGACACAACCAGTTTTCGCGTCAACAATGACAAGAACAGGCAGCAAGTTTTCATCATCTGGTGATTTAGACGTGAGGTCAGAAACATTCAACTCGGTGTTTTTGTTTTTCACAACACGACCCAGGAAACAGTAATCCAAACTTACACGCGGAACTTCATTCGGGTCGCTTTCTGCTTGTCTCCCGCGGTGGTCGTCCTCACGGACTTTGCCACGCGCGCAACGCTCGCACCAGCTTCTCAAAGGAATGTGTGTGAGCATGGGTGCGTCATACTCCTCCTTTGAAACAGTATCAGGAATCTTCTTGGCCTTCGGCTTTCTCCCTTCACTTGAAGCTTCACTTGGAGGCTCTTGCAACTCCGGCAACTTTGGGGCTACCCGCTGGCGATTGCTTGGTCTCCAGTGGCAACCAGAACACTCCCCTGCTCTTGGTTAAGGGAATCGTTTCAATGTGGCTCAAAGAGTCTTGAATAATGGGAGTGAACCTGGACTGGGCAATACACTGCGTACCGGGGCCAACAATGGTCCACACCCCCTTTTCTGCCATTTTACCGGATGAAAGGACACTAACCTGAAGCTTATCTGACTCAGCGTATTCAACATTGAACGTTTTACCAGAACATTCAACGACGACGCTTTTCTTTCTGATTCCAGATGTGAGCGGTTCACCCGTGACAGTAACTAAGCTCTTGGATGAATCATTTACGCTCTCAACAGCATGGGGGTCAAACCCACTTTGAAACAAGTGGGAACCGGCTCCAGCAGCACGCGCTTCAAGGGGCTAGCAATAGCTGCAACAATGTCAGAGTCTTCCATTACTGAGGACAGTGGTTCACTCTGGGGTTCTTGCTCTGGCGTTGCTGCGTTCTTACCTTTTCCACCTTTGGAGCCTTTGCTACCTTTGGCTCTGTCGTCTGCTTGTTTCTTGCGTTCGGCCTTGATGTGGCCAGGCTTGCTGCAATAGAAACACGTCTTCTCTTTGCTAAGAGCTGTATTGCTGGAGGTGCCTTTGGTCTTGCCTTTGCCTTTGCCTTTGTCATCTTTACCCTTACTTCCTTTTCCTTTGCCTTTGTCAGTCTTCCCCTTGCCTCTTTGGGGCAATGCGCCAATGTCCATGGGGCTAGGCGTTTGGCTTAACACACGGCTAGTACGAGCTATCTCCAACAGCTCATCTCTTACCAACTGATAGCTCGTCAAGCGATTTGCGCTTCTAATGATGCGGTCTCGAACTGAATTGTCTTGGAGACCGTTGATGACCACACCGAGCAAAATCTGGTCATCCAAGGCTTTGCCAGTCCACATCCGTGGATGAAAAACGTGCGTCGAGAATCAAACTCAAACTGCCAACAAACCTTGACGCCAACTTGGGTTGGTACAGCTCTTCGAGTTTGCGGAGGGCCTCAAAGCCCTCTCCCTTTCCACTGTTTTTTTTGCCCTTGACTAACATCACTAACACGTAATACAACTGTGGTGAAAGCTGCCTCTCTTGCTCGCTGAGAAGGCGATTCGGGCATGGAACTCTAGTTGATTCAATACGTTCAACAATCTCAATGAAACGGGAGTCGACACAAGCCAAATACGCTTTGAACACAAACGACCAATCAGCATACTCACTCGCATCTCCCTTGAAGGTCTCCGGTTTTCCCAACTGTCTCGTGTCAACCAAACCAAACCCCCCGCTACTGCTGCTAGATTCTTGAAAGGGTCTGTGCAAAACAGCTGTTGGAACCATACCTGATATGTCTGAAACCCTGCATTCAGGCTCAACGCGCACTCTTTCAGCACGCATCTGTTCTAGCTGCATCTGTTGCAGCTCAACTTGCCGCGACCGCCGCTCCACTGCCGCCATCATCTGGGCCATGGGGTCCCTTGATTGCTCCAAGTCTGGAGTCGTTTCCTGAGGATTCGTTGTCATCATCGTCGTCGCCACCGTAATCTACTTCTGAAACAAGATCTATGTTTGGGAATGGCCTCTTGCGCGGCCGTTTGTCCTTTGACTCGGCTTTCTCCTCCGCGTCGGCTTCGTAGGCCTTTGCTCTTTGCGCCTCTTCTCGGTTCTTTCGAGTCAAACGAGCTGCTGCAAACTGAGCGGCCCTTGGACGATTCAGTCGAGATCTCTCCTCACAGCTGGAGCAGTCAGCTGGTAAGGTGTCAAAGGCGTCCTTGACACTTCCGTGAGGGAAGTGCTTCCTCAATACCCGTCTCACAGCAACTCTGTCGGCAAATTCTTGTGAACTTTGTCTTGGATGGCCTTTGCTTCAGCTCTCTGATGATACAGCTGAGTGAATCGCTGATGCAGGGGTGAAGCGGAACGAAGGCGAAGTGCACGAGGTTCAGGTGCTCGACGGCGAGAACGATCCCTCTCGCTTCTCTTCGCTCTTCTCTTTCTGTTTTTTCTCCTTGGCTCTTCCACGAGAACCTGGATGAGGATGTCTTAGCTCCTTTCGAGCTGGAACCAATCGAATTGGGCTCGGAGTCTTGTCTCGAACTATGAAAGCTCGATGTGCCCCCCTGTCCAGACGGAAGTGGCCGGGGCTCCACAACCTGGATTCCTTGCTTCTTTCTTTCTTCTGTTGTGCCGGCTTCTCGCCGGGCTTGGCCCCTAGCTTCTCGAGCTAGGGTTCTGTAGGCAGATCTCCTGCCCCTTTTGTTCTTCTTCTTGGCTCCCTTCTTCGGCTTGGGGGGCCGTTTTGCTGGGCGGGGCTACCCGCGCCAGCAGGGTAGCGGTTAGCCTTGGAAACCAGGCTCCGCTACCATGAAACGGCGCAACTCAGCGCCCGGACTCGCACCTTTTTACTTGGTCAGAAGGGGCTGCAAGATACAGCCCTGTTCAAGGTTACTTAGATCGTGTGATCTACTGTACATACTTATGTTGCATAGGCTCATATTCCCGACATTATTGCATACACAGTCTTCAGCTTCACAGTCTTGAAGATTTGCAACACAATGGGAACTTAAGCAATCACACAGAGGAGAGTTGCTCACAAAAAGGCTGAGCCATGTATCCGTATCCTTGCTAGTCCCCGCAAACAGTTCAAGGTTTACAGCAAGTTGACACAACACAAGCTTTCTCAAAAGGACAGACCAATCAAAACAGTCTTTGACAGGAACCATAGGCAATATCTTGTATCTTTTGGGCTGCCTGACCAATCAGAATTTATATAGCTGTCAGTGGCTATCAGTTTGTGGACAAACCAATCAAAACCACCAAGGAGCTTGGCCATCCACCATTATGACAATTAATACAGTACAAAGATTTGCAAATTCGAGTTTTTTCTGAAACTATCAGCGGGCAAAGGTTTCGGGAAAGTAATCCTCCCAGACCTGTTTCAGCCTGCCTGAACAGGATGGTCTTCACCCATGATGACCCGGCAAAGGGAGGTTCTAACCGCAAACCATGGAACTGGACACAAGAAAAATGAACTAAGAACGACAAGCAAAACACTTACTTCTTCAACACACACTAGTTGCCTGCTGCACCACTTGAGCAGGATGCTCCTCGCAGTATCTTTATGAGGGATGAAGGATAAGCAACCACCAGGCACAGACTAGGTTGAAATAAAGCGTTCTGTACAGGCAGTTGGAAGCGTCAAAGCTTGTATCTGCATGCATCTGTCAATGTCGGGCACAAATGAGTGAAGTGACTGCCAAAGGGAACCCACCATCTGGTAGGTTCGTATTCTTTTTCAGATGGAAACCTTCCACAGAACTGTTCTGTCCTCACGTCTTGGAGCCAAAGGAATATCCACTTCTCGAGTGGTGCCCTGGGTAGTCTGGCCTACCTGTGGCACCTCCACAACCTTCTCGACAGTCTGCACCTTGGTATTGCAGAGCCTTTTGGTCTTGCCACTTCTTGGAGCTTTCGCTCAGCTTTTGGATAGCTCACAACCCTCTTGCTGAAGGAAGTGCACAATTTCTGGGCTAAGCTATGTTCGAGGGGGATCTCCACGATCTTCTCAATGGTCTGGACCTGACAAACGGCCAAAAAGTCCACTCCATCAAGGCCAAATACCACAGCGTAGCTGCCAATTCCAGAATCATGCCACGAGAAATCACCGGACATCAGCTAAGAAGGAGCACCTGCGGAACTTCAATCTGCTTCACCACAGGCACGTCCACGATTTTCTCAAGGGTTTCAATAACTTGCACCTACAAAGGTTGGACATGTCAGCGGCAGTCACAACAGCAACAGCTTAGACAGAACATAAGAGAACACTTCTTTCGCACACGTTTCTAGATGTTTCTGTTGGCAACAGCAGTGCCTCTGAATATCCTTTTGCTACTAATTAGGAGCAACGACGCTACTAGGGGCTCCTGGCCTTACTACTAGGAGCAAGGACGTTACATCTCAGATTTAACGAGTACAAATTGTCATGCCGCACAAAGTATTCCAAGGCTCCGCTCAACACTCGTGCAGCTACATTCACAATATATTGAAACACCGCTTATGACTTGAGCGTACATGTCTTTGCTCTGAAGGCACAAGACCTGGAACTCTTCTGTCCAAAAAAGTGCATTCATCATGAAGAGAACAGAAAATAGGAGGTACCTCAATAACATTGGTGGTGCTTGTGGCCAGTTCCAAAGGAGGGAAGAACAGCTGTTGTCGTGCCTTTTATTGAAAGACCCCTCTCTTTTCATGATTGTATTTTGATGTATTTTGGATTCTGGATGATCCTTCGAGACAGGTTAACTAAGCCAGAAAGTCTTGCATGAAACTACGAAAGTAACCCAAACGGAAATGGTAAAAGCGATCTGTAGCTCCGAGGAGCAGCATGTAGTTGGCTGGCGGCTGATAGAACGCCGCCAGCTTTTCTTCACGTTCTTGCTTTTCAGTTGATGCTACGTTGGGGATGGGGGTGGGGTGGGGTGGGGTGGGGCATGTTAACGTTCGCTGGCACTTACGTCATGAGTATTTATTGATATTTTAATGTTTTTGTGAACTTGCTTGCCCTTGGAAACACGGCCACTGTCGTGTGAGTGCACGGTCCACCAAGATTCATTAATATTGAGCCACGTTTTGAGCCACGTTTCAGGTTTAGTAACTAGAAGCTTCTAAGATAGTCTAGAAAGCTTCCTGTTACTACGAATAAAACAAAGACAGTCTAGTAAGCTTCTAGTTACTAGTAAGCTTATAAGACAGTCTAGAAAGACTTTTAGTATGATTATGGAGCAGAGATTTTGAAGTACGAGCTGAAAATGAGCTCCCAATGCTGAGTGCTCATATGAAAGGTGACAAAATGAAGTAGTTTGTCCGGACGTTCTGGGTCATCCACGTTCACATGAAAAGAAGAATTCATTGCAAAAACCAACGCGAAAACAACCTGTCATGATGATAAAGGCGAAGCGGCGTTCTATCAGCCGCCTACCATGTACAGTAGTTTAGGAAGGGCTTACGGTTGCGTTGCTTGGGGAGGGGCCGAGGGTCAACAACTTTGCCTTGGATTTGGACCAGGGATTGTGCCTCGACTGGCTTCTCCACAGGGACGTGGACAGGCACATGCCGCTGCTTCTGCACAGGAATGTGAACGTGGTTGTCCTGATTTGGGAATTCGTGCAATTCGTCAGCCAGAAAGGATGCGTGCTCGATTTCAATGACAGAATAAAAATGATGTTAGGTCTGGACAGTCTAAATGTTTAGAGCTTCATCAGGGATCAGATCACGTGACGTTAGATTAGAACGTAAGAAAGGGTTCTTACAATTCGGCCCAAGCAGCAATGTACTCAATCTGCGGAACTTCCACTGTCTTCTGGACCTCAAGCACTTCCAAGAACAGGACTAGGAACAAAGCCGAGTGCCGAGTAGAGTATGTTCTTCCAACGAAGACTGGTCATACCATCCACTTTACCTGCGATCCAAATTACAGTGTTCACCATTGGAATATGGACGTGCTTCGCCACTGGAACTGGCACGACTTTGTCCACATACCTTGGACACCAGAGCACACAATCTCAAGACGAATATATCCTGCCATAAGACCAGAAAAGCAACTGAGTCAACTTAACATTGATGACAAGGAGCTCAACTTGGGGCACTTCCACTGTCTTCTGGACGGTCTGCACCATTGGCACGTGCACATGCTTCGCCACTGGCACCTGGACAACCTGGTCCTCGTACTGAATCTGGGGCACCTCCACTTGCCTGATTCAGCAAAGAGAAACTGCCAGACCCTAGAGTTCAATGCCCTTCATGAACCCTGCCTCTGCACTGTCTGCACCATAGGCACATGAACCTGCTTCTCAACTGGCACGTGCACCACTTGATCCTCGTATTGGACTTGAGGCACTTCCACTGCCCTCTGCACCTTCTGCACCATCGGAACATGCACCTGTTTCTCAACCGGCACGTGCACGACCTGATCCTCGAACTGGATCTGGGGCACTTCAACTGTCTTTTGCACCTTCTGCACCATGGGCACGTGCACTGGCTGTTCCACAGGAACCTGCACGACCTGATCCTCGTACTGCACTTGAGGCACTTCGACAGTTTTCTGCACCTTTTGCACCATAGGAACATGCAC